GCTTCGATTACTTCTTCATTGTCCGCAAATCTCTTACCGCCAAGCCATTTTTTGAGATTAGGGAACAGAAAATAGTCACTCGGGGCTAGGTCTGGAGAGTAAGGAGGGTGCGGCATCAATTCAAACTTTAGATCGTTGATTTTAGCCGTCGCAACGATTGACGTGTGCGCTGGTGCGTTATCGTGATGAAACAAGATTTTTTTCTTCGCCAGATGAGGTCGTTTAATTTTCACCTCGTGGCTCAAACGTTGCAATAAGTCTGCGTAGTATTGACCAGTGATAGTATTACCCTTTGCAAGGTAATCAATGTATATAATACCTCTTGCATCCCAAAAAACAGTAGCCATAACCTTGTTCGCCGAAAAAATTGTTTTTGCCTTCTTTGGAGTTGGTTCCCCTGGTCCAATCCACTGTTTAGACTGTTCTTTGGTTTCAGGAGTGTAGTGGTGGACCCACGTTTCGTCAACGGTTACGAATCGACGCAAAAATTCGCTTGGATTACGCTTATACAATGACAAATTTGCGGTAGAAATGTTTTTTCGAATCAATTTTTGGTCGACTGTTAGCAAACGCGGCACCCATCTTGCACAGAGCTTTTCCATATGCAAATGTTGGTGCAAAATATGTTGCACACGTTCATATGACATCTTACAGGTCTCAGCTATCTCACGCACTTTCAATCTGCGGTCTCCCAGCACTATTTGATGAATTTTTTCGATCATATCTGGAGTTGTGACCTCAACGGGGCGTCCTGAGCGAGGCCCATCAGAGGTGCTCACACGACCCTTTTTAAACTCGGAAACCCACTGCTTAACGGTTGAATATGACGGGGAGGATGTCCCCAGTGTTGAGTCCATCTCTTTTTTAATTTCCTTCGGCGTTAACCCCTTCAAATAAAAGTATTTGATGACAGCACGATTTTCCTGCTTTTCCATTTTTACGAAAACCACAGAGGCGTCTTGTTCAGCGTGCTGTCAAACCTACACTAGCAAGGAGATCGGGCTGAAACTATAGCTACAAGCTATCCAAGGATGGTACTATAGAATGTCACCTCAAGGTAGGCCTAGTGGCGTCATCTCTTGGTTAGGCCGGAAACTTATCAATCCACCCTCGTATAGGGCACTTTCTTGAACATGAAGGACTGGTTAGACATATTACAAATAGAAATTGGAATTGACATGCAGATTGACCAAAAATAGGAAAAAGTGGAAGTGCTCTTCGAACCGACTTCGGACTGAAAACCTTATGACGATGATGAAGTTGTAAGAGGTTTTAGGGGTTTTGAGTGACGAAAGTAATAAAATATTAATTTACAAAGTTGTAATTACTAATGGTAATACTGTACAAGGATTTCAATAATAATTCCGGCCATTGTTTATTGTTATAAAGCGAATTTGTAATCTTTTGATGGTTCGAATGGGATAAAGTAGCATAAAGAGTCCACGATGCGTAATGATTGAGCTTTGTTGTTTTTAATTATTTATTTATTATTTAACCGAATTAGGCGATTGTATGTAAAAGCGCTGAACGGCCCTGTACACACGAACTGTGGAGCTTATTGTGTTTTATGGGGCCGGTTGGTTGCCGTGCTGGTGTGTCTGTTTAATATTAGATTTCGCTTTGTGCCAATGGAAAGGGGTTGACGGTTTTTTCCAGCAATTTAACATTTCGAATGTTTTGTTTAATGTTGCTATAGAATTCAATGCACATGGCCCGTGATTTCTCTTTTGTTCTTCGACGTTTGTGCTCCGTCTCTCTCCGGCGTCGCACGCGCGCGATCGTTTGCTTGCATGTGTGAGTGTTTGTATTTCGCCACAGCCTGCTGCCGCGTCGCCGTGAAAACGCTACAGCAGCAACGAAAAGGCCAATTAAAAATTTTACCCTAATAACCTTTTCCTCTGACGTTTTGTTCCTCGATTCCGTGCAAAATGGGCCAATTAACCTACCGGGCCGATTCTTAATGCTCAAAGCTCGTTATAAATGTGCTCGTGCGACGCTACAGCAGCAATTGTTTTGTAAAACTGTTCTCGTGGCTTTGCTCGTATTCATACATGCAGAGCATTCCGCAAGAAATGAAATATTAATTGCAATATGCAGGGATGAGCGGCAAACGTGCCTATCCAAAGCAGGCGAGCGTTTCATTAGTAACAATAGTGGTGGCGCCACTTCTTGTTAAAATATTAGGAGACCACACGGAGGGAACCAAAAAAATTGTAAGAAAAAGGGAAAGACGATGAAGTGGAGATACATGATGAAAATTGAGTCCAAAAGAGAAAAAGAATGTTACAGAAGGATTACCTACTTTTGACAATAGTCTAGGTACAATATGTTTTAAAGCGTGACCCACAAACAAAAAAATATATATAAATAACATTCCACTACTATTTATGACGAAATGGCGTAAATTGTAAAACAATTCGAAAACTGACGAAAAGTACAAAAAACTTCATTTTGACTACAACAAAAAACGTTGTAGAGTATTGAAAACCGTATAAAATAGCACCTTGATCGACCTCAACAACGCATTCATTTCCAAAAAAAAAAGTGGAAAACCAAAATCTTTTTTGAAAATTCGTAATTTCTACAAACTGAAGCTATAGGTATTTTCATGCATGACATAGCAATTATGAATGTTTGAATGAATTATTTGGACGAAAGTTGAAATGTTTTTTGGCCTTTTCTTTTAAGTACACGCCCTTGATCCAAACGCGGTCAGATTCTAATTTTTAAAACAGATTGGGAAACTTTAAAACTGTAATGTTGTTCAAAAGGTTTGAAACGCATTCGAATTTTGAGTAAACGCATAACTACCTATTTGTCCTAAAGCCCAAGAAGAATCTGACCACGTGTTTGGAACAAGGGTGCACATGCAAAAAAAACCTATAAAAATTGGATTCATTCTCTCGACAGAGTCCAATTTTCGTTCGAATATCTATGATACTTTAAAACCCTGCACAGCCCTATACCCCACATTTTTTATTGTAAAAATGACCAATTAATTCCTTCATTCCTTCGTATATATGGTATCAATTGACGAACTTTCTGTAATGTGCTTTGCTGATATGACATCTTATAGTGGACTAATTTTAGCTTCTTGGTTATAAACCGTTGTACAAGTGAATTCCTTCTTCAACCCAACCGTCCAAGTTTGAGGCTTATTCTTTTTGACTGTTTATTGCTTACATTAAATAATTATTAATTTCACATGAGAGCATTGTTTTGGTCGATATAGATTCATTTGATGTGAGGTATGATTAGTTGCCACAACTATTTACCTTAACGCAATTCATTAATTTCTTCATATAGTCCACACAACTTTGCTGTGGTACTGGTAGAAAGCGATCCCTTCATAACACATCTAACAATAAGCATACGTGAAGTTATGTAGTGAATGAAGTCTTTAGGGCATTTTCACGTCAAAAGCAGCACATTGTATACGACCAAGTTGGCGTACTACATATTAAGTGCGCACAATAACTGGCCATCAATGAATTGCCTGCTGCCTGCTTCCTTTTAACATGTTGTATAACAACAACTTGTTGTTACCAAGTTTGACGTTTACGGGTAACGGTTGGTGAGTCGTTTGGAAGAAACATTATCGGCGAATTAGTGAACATGTTCGCCGGCAGTTTCTGCTTCAAGATACATTATATACACATTGCTTATTACTTAAGTATTACGAAGTTCTCTGTTGTGTGTGCATTTTAGGCGTCAATATTACTTGTACGAATATGCTCATACATACTTGCCAATACGGGAGGATACCGGATCGATTTCGCATCTACACGCCTTGGCCTAAGTTTGTCTGTGGTTTCCTTGGATTAATTTGTACCATCCGTTCCATGTATATGTATTCTGTACGGGACAGTGGCTACGCATTTTTAGGACAGTAACATTCCACATACTTATAAGTAGTGTGTTTTGGCAGATTCTGTTACAAAATGAGTTGGAGGGTTTAACGTCATTGGGAAGAATAAAGTTCACTAATCCAACTCTCGGCCAACGGTAGATGTTAAACGTGTGTGCCTTAACAACAGGCAACGACATCTCTCCACATCATTTTGTAACAGAACCGGCCAAAACACGCTACTGTTCGTTTCAAGAAGTTAGAGATATGCCCCTTCCCTTTATTAGGATGCGCCGTAGCATAATTCCAAATTCAATCATATTTGTCCGCGGAGCTCATTTCTCCACTGATCATCGAGCGAGAACTAGACAAAAGTGTACAGTACCATTTGCAAAATTATTTAAACTGCCTCGTTAAAATTTAAGAATATGCTTTATTTAAAAGCATATTTAGCCAAAAATAATAACAAGTGAATTAACTTAACGTTCTACACACCTATAAAACTTTTGCTTTGTTTTCTATTGTTAATTTATATACATTTTTGTTTTAAGAAATTGCTAAACATTTTCGTCTAGTACTGTACAGTTCTAGCCGATCTCCTAAGACCGCCCATCGAGAGCTCTGCTCGTTCAAGCTTGTTCCAACTATTTCTGTCTTGCTCACGCCTAGTGTGTATTCTTTCTATCTTCGCGCAGATTTCTTCAAGGTCACAATTCTAGCAAATCGAAATAGACAGTACTCTTATAGTATTTCTTTTGTACCAGAACTGGCCAAAACACACTACTCTTATAGTATTTCTTTTGTAACAGAATCGGTCGAAATACACTACTGTTGTAGTATTCCTTCGCTGTTCTATTGGTATTACAAATAATTCTTGTTTTTTCTCCCTTCCAGGACTTTCTACAATAATTTCCAAAGATATTTCCTTTGTTCTTGACATTGTTTTTGTTCTTATCCAAATTTTTTCCGCAGTTTTGCTACCGTCTTTTGTGCGCTTTAGATAATTGCTCATTCATATCTTCTTTGAACTTACTATTCAAAATCTGTTTTGTTCTATTCATCACCTTACAGATTTAATATGTACCTTTACATACTGTACAATCGTTTTATGTATGCTTAATCGCGAGATGAAATGTATTTGTTTTTGTTCCAGGTTTTGTGTGGGAGATCGATTTTACCTCTGCGAAAACAAAATCCTTTGCGAGTACGACTACGAGGAGCGATTGGTTTTCGCCAGCATGGCTTACAACCCTCCAGCACTTTCCCATCTTAAACGCCAAACAGCTACATTGCCACCTGTAAGTACTACTAGATATTTATTTTAGTTTTTCTGAATGTAGTCCATATCTCCAAACAGTGGAGCATTTCAAAAAATTCCAGAAAACTCCATTATTTCAGCCCACAATACCGACACATCTGATGAATGGACATAGGCCCCCTTTGCCCCCCACAAACGGCGATTTGAATAACAATATGTCAGGGTCTAGTCAGACACCGCCCCATTCGATGTCTTCGCAATCGTTTCCGGCACCAGGTCATCTAAAGAATAGTCCGATGTCACTTGGAGCGTCCAGTTGAAACGGAAACAATCCTCAAGACTGTGATCCAAAAAGGCGAAAAACGTTTATAGTGTAAATACAAGGTGCTGTTAATTATTATTGCATTCAATTCGTGTAAATTCGCGTCTATCAAAAGCACTCGTCTCTCTCTCTCTCTATCTCTCTCTCTCGCTGCCGAAGTTGAACCGAATCTATTACACATGCTAGGGATTGCTCCAGGACATCAACATTTTGAAATATCTTAACCTCAAAATTCAAATGGTATCAACTTGGCTCGTTTGGTTTTGAAGTTGAACATCTTGAAATAGACAGGAGTTATACAACCCTCCTTTTAATTAAATGATATTGCTATCTCACTATTGTTTTTATGTAAAACGTTCACAATCGAAAAAAGAACTGAAAAACTGACTGACTCCAAAAGAGATCTCTCTGACGGTTTTCTAATGAATTGCTTCAAGATGTAATAAACATATTAGAGTCGTTGTTCTTCTTCGGTAGCTGCTTTTGAAACGCTTTGAAAGTTTACAAATTCGATAGGTGAAATGCTCAATTACCATTGTTACGATGATGAGATTGGAGAACCCAACAATTGTATAGACGACTACGTGCAATATATATACGAGCGCAGTATTCGAAATAGTTAATTCTAGAAGTATACGCATACATTTTTAAGTACACCGTGTATGTACAGTGACGTTTGTTAAAAGTGAACAAAGTGAACAACAAAAGATCACTTCAGCTGATCTCAAGATATAAACCGTCACCCTAATAAGATTCGCTACAAAGTCGCTATTCATTCAACAAGATCTTTATAAATTTCATAATTACAATTTGTCCACTTTTAAAGACCGTTATTGTACATCTACATATAAAATACCCCTTATCGTATCGCAATCGTTTTTTCAAAAAATAATTACGTTACTATTTTTATTTGAACTTCTGACAAACTTTTGTAAAGTTTTATTACGAGGCATTTTCTTTAAGCACACGTTTTAATTATTGTTTGCGATACTTTAAATTTCTTTTTATTACTAGCCATAGGTGATTGGATGATACTCATTTGTTGTTTGTTACATTTTGTTTCTCAGAAAACAAAACAAGAATTGATTGATACGCTTGTGTGTTATCGGTTCCGTAATATTTTTACCAATAACTTTATATTTCCGTCGATTAATTAATTAAATTGTAAATAGAATATCTATATTTACCAGTAGATAGGCCATTGAAATAGATGTGTAATGTATCTACTACTCCCCTGCCCCTAATACAGATAGATAGCTGTTTTCATCAAAATATTTCCGACTTTTTTAAATACCTATTGTACATTATTTGCAACCATAACTGTACCCACATCGTTTAAATAATACTAACTAAACGGTAAAGATCTCGACTACAGTTAAGTGATGGATGTGGAACGAAGAAAGAATAATTAATTGCATTTATTAAGTTTTTGTTTATTTGTAAATGACAATTATTCCAGTGAACGAATAATTTATAGTTGTTTAAAACATCCTATAAAAATTTCTTCCTGAAACCAATGAAATGACCAAAGAAATTAAATGAAAAATATAAAAAAGCGTTTTATTTCAATCTCTCCCAATGATCCAACTTTTTGAAGAAGAAAGGTAAGTGAATAATTTCTGTATATTTTTTCTCTTAAAGAGCATTTTTGCATGATCGTACGCGTTAGGTAGTAAAGTAGAAATTGTTATAAACTTAACCAAATACAATCTTGAAGGGACGCATAAGATTAAAAATAAAAAGGGAATCAGAAATAAGCATCTAATTTTTGGCTTTGACACCAAATTAACCCCTGAAACGTCCCTGATGTCGATTTAGCGACTCTATTGTGCTAGCGTCACGGACACGTCAGATGTGTTTATAACGTTTTGGTAGTGAGAACGAACAAGTCTGAAACATTGATTCACGTCTAACAGTCTTAAAAAGAACTCTGGCCGACAACTTATTAAATAGAAATGATATTGATGTAAATTTCCATTAAAATTCACTATGCTTGACAGTTGTTTCACAGCACTGTGTCTTCTGCAGGTAGTATCACGCAGAGAAATAGGACATTGCAACGCCGCATTCAATCCGCTGTCACTTAGCAGCATCCGTGTTGTTTTTCTTTTATATTTTTGTACTCATCTATTGTTTGTTATTTGTTACATTAGATTATATGATTGACGATGTTACAATTAACCTAGAGTAATTCGTTCTATTAACGCTGTAGGTTATATTACGTACGTATACAGACAGTTGAAGTCATCAGAAGTAGGTCAATGTGTCAGTGTCATAGATCAGTACAAAGTATTATTGCATTAACCAATCCGTGAGTTTCTAGACAAACATTTTTCTAGACGATTGGACATAGATATGTGTCCTGTACGCACTCGATTGGGTTAGGCACCCAGTCAAACTGTAACGTTGTTGCGCCCCTGGTCCTGTACTCAAAATTATGCGTAGTCCTGATTTATATCCGCTTGACTTCTTTGTATTGGAATGGATGAAACAGCGCGTATATTACACGCTGCAAATGAAGTACGCCAAATACCGAACGTTTTTGTCGTGTAGGTACGTACGTGTATGTGGGTTTACTGGTGTTGTAATTAATTTTTAATTTTTTTATTAATGGGTTTGGAACCGGACAGCTTTCATCTGCCTAATTTGGTTAAACGATTATTCCGAAATCCTTTCAACAATGATGATGAATCGGTTTTTCCGGATAATTTAAATGTCTAATTGATTAAGTAATCGAGTGTTCTGAAGCTCTTATAATGGTGATAATCAACTGATTTTTAAATTTATCGATCGCACAGCTATATTAAATACATCAACAAACATCTGATGTCCTCGTTTGTTTATTTTTTCTTTATGCTGCATACATAAGTGTCACAAAGCGTTTCGAACAGTCCGCGTATGTTCACGTTTGAGAAATAATTTTCACTTTTCGTTCGTCGCCGTCGCGACGTCGGTAGTGTAAACGTTAGTGTAATAACGCAGTTGCACTCAATCCACGCAAGAAGCACTTCCCGTCTTAAAGTCGAAATAAAATCCACAAATGCGTTATCTATGATGTTAAAATGGCACCGGCGCTGCATACAAATACACGATTTAACTTAGAACGAGCGTGTTTTCGCGAATAAATCTCGAAAACGCGCCATTGAACAAAGTTCTTTCTCTTTCCCCTGTCACCCTTGTTATCTTTCTTCGCTGCCGCCTTTATAAAGTTAAATATCATACCAGCCACCTACTACCGTATTACTCACGGGAGATTTATTAATTTGGTCGTTACGGAGGACAGAAGTAATTGTTTCTCTCGCAAAATATTTGCCAAAATAAACACCAGAATTATAAACAGCAATTTCGCGTTTAATTGGTACAGAAAAGATTAAAGTGTCGCAAATAAATTTTTGTTTAAAAATAAAATAGCTGCTAATGACTATGCTTAAAACAACAAGACATGTATGTTGGATTATTGTCTATAGTCTTAATGGACGATGGTATCGTCGGAATACATGGGTGGTGGTTGGGGAGAGACAAACGGGATGGACGAAATGAAGAAAAGTAAAAGATGACTTAATTATTATGAAATTTTTTACTATTATGAAGTTTTTTCCGCATTACCATAACAACATATACATGATTAAGATTGAATTTTGACAATACAATTTTTTTTCATGTCAGGTAGAAAATAAATCTAAATTTTTGAAAAATGGAAGGATTTGATGCTACATGTCCTGCTGTACCTCCACATAGGTATATATTTACATCAAAAAATTTTAACCGTTTTATATAAAAATGTAATTATGAGTGCAATGATTTATTTCAATAAAATTTTCGGTGTAGTGCATTGGGCAAACCCGACAGTTTAAACTCAGAATTCCTGTACTACAGTTCTATACTCAAAGTCCTCGCACCAGCTATGTCAGAAGAATATCAGCGACAACAGATAGTGCCGTGGATAAAGAAACTTTTTAGACCTGAATATCATAGTTCCAAATTTCGAGAAAAAAGAAACAGGTAATACAGTTGGAATACACAAAAACTTGTACATGTCGTTACTCATACCTGAAATCTATATATTCTTCATCATCATCACAAGGTCGTCAGTCCTAAGACTGGTTGGACACGCACCTCCACTCTTTCCTATCCTGAGCTAATCTTCGCATTTCCCTAAAGCTAGAGCAAGCCACGTCCTCAACTATTTGCGAACAGTAATCTAATCTAGGTCTACCTCTGCACCTCCTAACATCCGTTTCTGCCTCTAATATGTCTCTGACTAGACCTTCATGCCTGAGAAGGTGTCCTACTAACCTATCTCGCCTATTTCTTATTGACTTCCATGGAGTCCTCTGTTCTCCTATTCTTTCTAATACCTCTTCGTTTCTAACCTTCTATATCCACGGTAACCTCATCATTCGCCTGTGACAGCACATTTCGAACGCTTCTAACCTTATCTTTTATATTCCTATATCCATAAAATAAGTACTAATTGAATGTCATCTTAACAACATACTATTTTTAATTAAACATACCTTCAAACTTCGTCTTTGAAATAAAAGAAATTCTCTAATACATAACGAGAAATAAAATTGTAGTTGTATTGTGAACCAATTATATGATGACATTTCAATTCCATACAGAAACAACAAAATACGAATAAAAATAAAGCATGAATCTGAATTTGTAGATATGAGGATTCTAGAAGATGAATCTACAGATCAGTGTCGTACACATTTTATTGCCTCATCATTTTAATTCAGCATTCTTTTCCTGTCAATTTAATAACTTTTCATAGATATCTTCTGTACTTAACAATAACCTTACTGAATGACGAGTCTTATGGCATTTTCACCACGTGTCCACCAGAAGGAGCGTTGCCCGAATTACACGATCTAGAACACGTTCCCGTTCCGGCAGCTGAATGGGAATTGGATAGAATGTGGGTAGAAACATTGAACGGTCTTCCAAAGGATTTTCAATGTCTACAGTGTTCAATTCATAAGAACAGTCACGAATGTGAAAAGGACCACAAACTGGATATGGTTAGTACAATTTTCTTTAAGGGGGCTCAGTGGTTACTACCTATACCATGAATTTAATGAGTAGAAAGACTCCTTGGGAATCGATACAATTTTGAAAAATAAATTAAACTGAAAGGTATAACCTTTGAAAAACATGTGTCCATCAAAAGAACCCAATAAAAATGTCCCGAAATGTTTTTGCCATACGCCCTAGAAGACCTGTAGACTTTATGGGGTATTAAGAAACTTAAGTTTATCTTTAACCACACTTTTTAATCCGGAAACACCAATAAATCTTCGCTAACGTGTCAACTAGGTACTTAGTTCTATATTGTACAGAAATGGGTTCCCAATGGAACAAAGGAACTGTTTCGCATTTGTTGAACACGCAAATTTAAAAAAGTAGTTTCTTTGTCCAGGTGACGTTGTAGTTAATCATAACGAAAGATTTTATTTAAACGCTTCGTTTGCATACAGCGCGACACATAGAGCAACATTAACAGTAACAACGACGCATACACAGTGTGTCCCAAAAATAACCGAACTTTTTGGATATAGCATAAAATACACATTATGTTATCTTTGAAAGTTATTATTTATTCAAAATAGGTTCCATTAGACTCAATACAACGTTTGGAACGATCAACCAGCGCATGCATAGATTTTTTTATGTCATTTACAGGAATGTTCTTCAGCACCTCGGTTACAGCTGCTTGAATGGCTGGGATATCATCATAAAATGCTCCTTTCATCTTGGTTTTCAATTTTGGAAATAGGAAATAGTCACATGGTGATAAATCAGGCGAATACGGAGGGTGGTTGATGAGAGAAATCCGTTTTTTCATCAAAAATTCGTTAACTCTTTTGGTCTTGTGAGGTGGTGCATTATCGTGTAGTAAAAACAGCTGTTTTCCTGCTGGATATTCAGGTCTAACACGACCAATTCTTTTCCACAAACGATGTAAAACGCCCAAATAGTATTCTCCATTAACAGTTCGACCTTCTGGAACAAATTCCTTGTGGACAATACCCTTCGAATCATAAAAAGTAATCAACATTGTCTTGATTCGAGACTTCTGAAAACGCAATTTTTTTGGTTTTAGCTCGCCTTTGGACTTCCATTCAGCAGATTGACGCTTAGTTTCAGGGTCACTCATCACCAGTTATGATCGAATCAAGAAAGTCTGGATCGTTTTCAGCAGTTTTAACAATGTCTTTGCAATGCTCCACACGAGCGATTTTTTGGTCCTCATTTAATTCATGTGGAACAAAACGCGCACAGACCTTTCTTTTACCCAAATCTTCAGTTAAAATTCTCAAAATAGTGTTTTTACTCGTATTTAATTCCTCAGCCAACATTCTCGTAGTAAAATTTGCATCGATACCAATGATTTCACGGACTTTTTCCAATAATTCAGCACGATTACTAGCTTCTGGACGACCTGGCCTTAGGTCGTCATTTAAATCCTCACGACCATTTTTAAATCGTGTAAACCACGTATAAACTTGAGTACGACTCATACAATCATCACCATAAACTTTTTTCATCATTTCGTATGTCTCAGCGAATTTCTTTTCAAGTTTAAGACAAAATTTTATATTTTCTCCTTGTTCCATTTTTGTTTTGTAACATTAGCACACTTTTTCTTTTATTGAAATGGCTGTAACTTTGACATCTGTCATCTGATTTAAATGAATTTTGCTGCGTTTGAAAGAGGATGAATGTATCTTTTTAATGCTGCAAATTTGCAATAGATGGCACTGCATGTTGTATGATTTAAATATAAAGTTCGGTTATTTTTGGGACACACTGTGTAATTGCCTTGGAATAAGGAGATTTTACATAACTCGTCGATACACAAATACGGAAATTGTAAGGTACATTTATTTGGTAAATGTGCATGGAGTCTAGAAGAAGGAGAAGCATCTCTATACACTTTTAGAAACGAGTATGGCAAACAAATTCAAAATGTTCATAGTACTTTTTTCTGTCGTTTACGTTGTTAGAACTGTAGTCAGTAGTCAACAGCTAGTCATGAAGACAACTTCGAGGTCAAACACTACTTCGCTGATCTTGTGGACCTCTGTCAACCGCAACTGTTAACGAAACGTCGGACAGTCACATAACCTTTGGACGACCTCACAAGCCCGAAAGAAAATTATCATTTACTACATATTTTAATAGTGTAAAATTGTTAATTCAAACCGAAACAAAAAATATATACTGTCACCGCTACTTTCTAATTTATATATCAACACCATTTAAGACAGTACAACTGTAGGGATAGATATACAGGCACAAAAGATTAGTATGCTTAGATTTGCAGATAATATAGCTGTATTAGCATCTAGCAAGTAGGAGTTAGAGATAGCTTTAAATAAAATGGAAGCGGTACTCACAGATCAGTACTGTATGAAAATAAATAAAAGTAAAACTAAAATACTTGTTTGCAAGGGAAGAAAAAGTGCGGAAAGAGCGAATGTAGAGATTAGCGACGAAAAATTAATGGCCGATTTTAGGTATCTAGGAAGTCAGATAAGTCAGGACGGAAGTAGTAGTAGGGATATAAAACAGAGGATTGCGCAGGGTCGAGTCGCCTTCAATAAAAAGAAGTCACTTCTATGCTCGCGAACGGTTAATTTAGAAATTCGAAGAGGTAGACCTATATTAGATTACTGTTCGCAAATAGTTAAGGATGTGAGTTGTTCTAGTTTTAAGGAAATGCGAGATTAGCTCAGCATAGGAAAGAGTGGGAATGCGTGTCCATACAGTCTTAGGACTGACGACCTTATGGTTTCTTTTTGCTTTTGGGTGTTTCATTCCCACCAGCCAGTAATGCTGGTGGGCGGGCAGTCCCTCCGGACTATGCCGGAAGGTAGGGCGGAAGGCCCTCTTCAGCCTACTTTCAGGAATCGTGGGAATGGGTGGGTGGTGGTTCGGGTGAGAAAGATGAGACGGACGAAATGAAGACAGAAGAGAGTGAAAGATTATCTGTGGAATATTACTGCCTCAG